CTCCTAGCAGGTTGCAGGTATGGCAGCTAGTGTAGAACCTTCGGGCAGACTACTTAAATAGGCAACCAAAAGTTGTACGTGTGGCTAGTTGTACGTTCATCAATGTACCAAAAAATGTTTGTAATAAAACATATAAAAAACACAATAAAGTGTTAGCAACTGTGACATTGGTTTAAAAAAAAAAATATATATATATATATATATATATATATATAATAATTTGGGCCCCAACAGGTTTCAGATTAGTATATTAAATTTAAAACATTTTTTATATAAAAAATAAATTATTTAAATTTTTTTAAATTTATAAAAATAATTAAAACCTATTAAAGTTGTTGATAACGAATAGTTAGGGTTAGGGTTAGGGTTAGTGTTAGGGTTAGTAAGCATTAGGTAACAGGAACAGAGCCAGAGATGCTAGCCAGAGCGAGCAACTACAGAGTGAGCGAAGCAAGCTCTGTCAGTATTACTGAGCATAGCGAAGAATACAAGCTGTGTTGTCTTTAAGATTGTTGTCTATAGAGGTTATTTATTTGCGCATTGCTGATGAAAATAATTAGGAGCTATTAAAGTTATTATAGTTAATAAATATCAATTATAATTAAAATAATATAAAAAACAATTAATAATAATAAAATAATAAAAAAAAATTAATAACGTTAAAGCCCGGAGCGTAGCACCGGGTTAGAGACTAGTCTTAAACATAAATTTATTTTTTTTTACCCATAGTTATTTTATCTAACAAGTTAAAAGTTTGACTACGCAGTTATAACTTAAAATCTTTAAATATGCGTATTGTAATATAACATAATACCTTAATCACTGTACCAAGATCGGGAAACTTTGTTTCCACTAATATTTAACGGCCCAGGTTATCTTTATTACTAATTTATTTTATAAATCACTTTTACAAGTTATCTTATTGTGAAGCTCATAAATAATTTTAATTGTTAATACTGTAAAAGTTCTAATGATCTTACAATTTAGAACATGATTATTTGAAAACAGAGATAAGTCCTTTTTCACAACAATTCAAAATAATTAAACCCATTGATTGTTAAAATTTTAACAATTTCTCAATTTCTCTTATTTACATTCCTAGCGTTTGATATCTAAATTAAACAAAACGATAAAATACAAACACAGAAAATATAAAATTCAAAAAAATAATATCGTCATTTTACTACGAATAATTAATAAAAGCGTTTCATATTAAAAAAATACATATATGTGTATGATAAATATTATTCCAAAAATAAAATTAAACCATAAATTTAACTCTCATTCAGTGTTTAAAATTTGATGTTCTCAGTGTTCTCAGAGAACATTTAACAATTTTTATGAACATGAATTACTAGAAAATATTCTCTATTTGAGAACATTTAACAAAATTTTTTAAATATTAAAAAATTTTTGATTTTCTAATACTGAGAACATTAAATTTTTGAGAACATTAAAATTTTAAAAAATGTTTTTTTGAGAACATAAAATCAATTTTGAATTTTAAACACTGCTCTCATTCCAAAAAGGCTTGTCAGCCAATTTTGAGTCACTTTTGGTCCATGGATTATCCGAATTTTCCGTCGTCGTTGAATTTCTTCTAGCTCGTTCTCGTTCTTTCTTCTTTGAATTCTGATTGCGCTGCTTCTTTCCGCTACTTCCAATATTGTTTGAACGAGAACCTTGACGACTATGAGTCTTGCTTTCTTGTTTCACACTAGATTGCTCTTGGTTAGGTTGTGTTTGTCGTGATGGAAGTGGAGATTGTTGTAGTTGTAGTTGATCCTGCTTTTGCGGCATTTTCTGTGACGGAACAGGAGTATTTGAACGGATAGGTCCAGATAGAACAGGAGTATTTGAACGGATAGGTGCAGATTGAACATGTGCATTTGAATGGATAGGAACATATGCTTGGAGTTGAGGTTGAGTTGGAGGTTGTGAAAGTGATCCATTAGGTAAATATCCAGGTTGCATATGTTGTGGTGGTGCTGATGAACTTTGTGTTTGAGGAATAAATGGTTGATGCTGAGATGGTTGCTGTTGTTGTGCAGCTCCATTTATCATATGTGGCATGGATGTTGTTTGTTGTGTTAAATTAATACCACCATTAGCAGGTGACTGACTGAATGTCTGTTGAGGATTGTATTCACCAAGTGGTTTCATCCGGGAATTGTAATGTGGCTGTTCTAAATTCCCGTTAGGTTGATTGTTATACAAAGGTGAATGATCCCTTGAGATCATTCGATCTTCATATTCAATAACACCGTTCATTTTAGATCCATATGAATACGTATTTGACGTAGAACTCACGCTCTTTTGTGATCGATTATTTTCTAATAGCCTTTTATTTTCTGCTTGTAATGCTTCTACAGTATTTAATAATTCTTTCTTAGCTTCACTCATGAATTTAAGATCCCTTTCTGCAAATTCCAATTCTTTAACTCTTAAATGAAGTATATTAAATTCTTCAACTTTTTCGTTATACTTGGCTTCAAAATCTACCATGCTCTTTACTTTCCGGTTTACATTTTCGAAGTCTTGTCGAATTTTCTTTAGTTCAACAATACTTTTTTCAAGTTCATCAACTTTAGTTTCAAGCTCTTTATTATGCTTACGTGCATTAGAAATTTCATCTTCAAGGGTTTTATTGCTATCACGGAGTTCTAACAATTCCTGCTTGGAAGCACGGAGTGATGCAATTTCTTTCTGATTGTTTTGTAGTAATTCGGACCGACTATTATCAAGGTCATTGACTCTCCGGTTAAGTTGGGCTATTTGATTGTTCAATCCATCAATTTCCTTATCCTTTGACTTTAACTGGACAGATTCATTGCTTTTAAGAGTTTTTATTTCATTTTCGAGGTCTTTTACTCGACGTTGATGTGCACGAAGTTCGATAATTTCTTGATTAGCTTCTTGTAATTGTTTCCGTAAGTTATCTTCTTTAGTTTTAGAAGAACTATCTTCCATGAGTATTTTATTCTCTAATTCTTTATTTTTTAGTTTCGACTCGGCGAGATCTGTTTCTATTTGAAGAAGCCTAACATTAAGTTCATCTTTGTGTTTTTGTAATGCATTATTTTCATTAAAAATCTCATTATTCTCATTTAGTAGATTACGTATTTTGTTTTCCAGGGTTGCATTCTTGGTTTCCAGGGTTGCATTCATGTTGTCCAGTGTAGCCTTCTGTGTTTCTAACGATCTTACTGTGGTTCGAATCATATCAAGTTCCTTATCAGCACGTAAAGCTTTGTCTCTATAACTAGATATTTCTGTTCTTAAATCAGAAATTGAGGTCTCTTGTTGCCGTTTCCTCTCATCGTATTGCAATTTGATGTTATGGTTTTCGTCTGAAAGTCTTGTATTTTCAGTTGTCAAATTTGTATTCATCATGCGTAACTTATTGATTTCGGATTCTGATTCAGAAAGACGGTGCTGAAGAGCTTGTGAACTCTTGATTTCGTTACCAAGTTGTTGTTGTCGTTCCAGCATCTTTAGAAATTCATCATGTATTCCTCTAAGACCATTTTTAAGCTCGGTTTGCAAGTTATGATGCATGGTTTGAAGTTCTGCGTGATGTTGCGAAATTGAACTTTGAGAATCACCACCTTGGACCGTCTGAAGATTAGAAACTTGATCAAGATGACGATTTTGCATTTCTTCATGTTTGTGTATTAATTGATCATATGTATTACGCATTTCCTGATGATTATTCCGTAATTCTTGAAGAATCTGGTCTTGCAATTTTTGCAGATTAATTTCCTCATCATTCTTTTTTCCGTTTGCACCAGAATCTTCAGACATATGTTCTACCAATGTATTTTTGATTTCTAATGTGAGTGTATCAACTCCTTTTTGAAATCCTGATTCTATTCTACTGACAATTTCTTCAGCTATCTTTGTTTGAAACTCTTCCCAGTTAGGTATAATAGTTCTTTCAGCATGATTAGGTGGTGGATAAGATGTATTTCCATGCTCGTAATATGCCGAAGGTTCAAATCCATTATTAGGAGGGTAGTTATATGGAACTGCAGTTTCTGAAGCAATAAGTTGTTGGCTCGAACGACGTTTTTTCTTTTGATAAGGTATTTCCGTATCACCATTCACTTCATGGTTCATCTAATGTAAAAATTGGATTAGAATTACAAAAGTTGGATATATACAGTTTCAAAATTCATGAATTTATTTAAATAATAATAATAAAATACCTTTTCCTTTTTTACATTTTTCTTTTTCCTATCATCTTCATGTTTTTGTTCTGACGCATCACTTGACTTGTTAGTATCCAATGTGTTAGCAGTGAAATTGAATACTGGTGCGAAAGGATTTAAATTACTCTTTCGCCGGCGAGTACGTTCTTTTTTATCGAGATCATCTTGGTCTACTTCTTTATTATCCCCACTGTTTTTCGATGATGAAGCAGTAACATCATTATTAGTGTTGGGAGGGTTGTTTTTAGATGGTTTATTTGATGGGAACTTAAAATCCTGAGCCAGTCTTCCATAATTTGAACCTTTAGGCTTGTTTTGGTCAGGATCCTTTCCAAGGATTTTTTCTAGTACTTCAATAGCTGTTGGTGGCATTTCTGGAGATGCATTTCCCTTTAAAAAGATAAATAAAGTTGAGAAAAATTTTGTAAATTTATCTGAATTTGATGGTATCCCAAAAATGGTTAAGATTATAAATAAGAAACGTGAATGCTTTCATCTAGGGATGTTAAAATAATTTAAAATTTACTATATAAAATTGAACTAGTTCTGATAATTTAATTTCAAATCTAGTTAAACTGTTTAACATCTTTACTTTCATAATATACATCATATTATTACTAATTATATCTCGCCATACACTCATAAGTCAATTTATTTAGCAAATTATATGACATTGATAATAAAAAGCACACATCTCTAGGATATGGGGGTGGCTATGTGAACTCACCTCCCGTCTCGTACCATTTAAAGCATCTAGTGTTTCAAGAATATGTGAATCCTTTTCCTTTTTTGCATTTATATTAGGATAATTTACAATAATTATTCCATCATGCGGAGTTGTCTGAAAGATGTCCGGCTTTGTATCGATGACTGGCTCCTTTTGAGACACCTATAGAAAAGATCCCAAAGAATTTAATATTTATAAAATTCTTATCAAAAAAACTATAACCAACATGATGCAAAGAGTAACTTGAAATGAGCTTTAAAAAAAAATATTCCTTACCTCTTCATTGGCCGGTTTTGCCGCAATTTCCCCTTGTTTTTCTCCTGCCTCTTCGTCCGGCACCCGAAATTTGCCTTTCGGAAGTTTTACGGTAGGATCAGAAGATTTTGACTTTTTAGATTTCTTTTGAACTGTTGGTGTTGGTGATGTCATTATTATTTGTAAGGATTTCACACTCTGTTACACGCGACAAGATGAAGTTTTAACGATCACGAAAGATTTTGCATCAACAAAATATATAACCGATTTAACAGTAAATTCTTTTAAGTATTCAAACAAACGTTACGAATTTCTTTTTTTAAGAAAAAAAAAAAAAAAAAAGCTAAAAGCAATTTTAAAAAGTATGTTCTCTCGCGAGACGAGGACAAGAAAAAAAACAAGGACGCAATGATATATAAAGCCCCAACTGTAAGCTGCACAGTTGATTGACAATAGTGTACGTATCCGGGAATACGACATTTCAAAAACGGTTATTCATGGAACCTTACACAAGCCCTGCAAATCAAACGAGTTTACAACAATATTCAAGAAAATCATTCAACATCACGTCACACTGAAATTCAGACTACTTTAAGCTCATCAAAGACAATATAATATTCGGACAATATGTGCGTATGTACTGCACGTACCTGTACGTACGTAGCTTTTAGGTGCTAGTCAGCAACTCTTAATCCATTAATTAAAAATATTCCGACATACACATTCTCATTTAAGAAATATTTTCACGTGACAAATTCCGGTTAGCTGATATTGCACGATTAAAGTTATCAGTGTTGGAAACCTTATGTTCTCATGTTCTCCTGAGAACATACCTTTAGATTTGGGATCATTTAATATTCTGTAAATGTTCTCTATGAAAAAAATTTGTGAACATAATGCTCGAAAAATACTATGTTCTCAAAAAAATAGGGATAAAACATTTTACTGTTGAACATAAATTTGTTCTCATGAGAACATTAAACAGATTCTGCACTGGGGGAGACCGTCATCGGTTACACAAATTGCGGATCATTCACGAAAATCTCCGGGAAGTGGATGACCAATCAAAAATTGTAAAAGTTATATATTAAAGTTTAAGATAACAGATAACTACCAAATTCTACGTACTGTACGTACGTACGTATACGTATAATAAGTATGTTTTTGTTTTACGTATTACTAGGAACCGGGAACCGGTGTGAGTCCGAAGCATAAATCTTAAATAAATATATACAATGTATCTTTATGCGTAAAACAAGTTTACTTATAGCATGTAGGTAGGTTCAAATAGTACAATTTTGTAAATTTTAATATTTTTCATAATTTTATTAATAAAATTATAGAAATATTAAAATCCACAAATGTGTACTAATTAAACCTACCTTTATACTCTAAGTAAACTTGTTCTACGCATAAAAATACACCGTATTAGTATATATTAACATTATAATTTTAAATTTTAAGAGAAAAAGATGCTTAATTTTAAATTTTTGATCAAAAATCCAAAATTAAATATCTTTTCTCTTAAATTTAAAAATTATAAGGTAAACGTATACCAATACAATGTATGTTTATGCATAGAACAAGTTTACTTAGTATATAAAGGTAGAATTAGATAGTACAATTTTGTGAATTGTAATATTTTATTAATAAAATTATGAAAAAATATTAAAATTTTATTACTTAAGCCTACTTCATGTTCTAAGTAAACTTGTTCTACATATAAAAATACATTGTATTGGTATACTTTTACCTTATAAATTAAATTTTAAGAGAAAAGATGCTTACTATATCCTATCATGAATAAGCACCTATTATGAATAAGCACCTCCTATAAGTAAAATTTTTAATCAAGAATAAGCACTCTATAGATTAGAATCAGAAAAATTCTGAAATACAGTACCTACTATAAATTCCATTACACAGATATCGGAGGCTTTTGTCTAGACCAGATATTTATAGTTGACTTAGATCGATCGATTGATTAATAATGATAAAAATTTTTTAAATTCAAAAATTTTATTAGCATACAAAGCATACAAAGCATACATACATTTATCACTACGTATATATTATATTTTATATATTTATATATATATGCATATATATATATATTTAGCACGTACATATTACCTTTAATCAAGAGTACGTATCTATGTACGTATGTATAATTTTCAACAAACTGCTTTTTACATTGTCGCTAAATAGTATACTAAATTGAATTTACTTATTCTTATTACATTATATACTGCTTAATCTTCTAAACTAACACCAATTTATACTTTCGCAAGACTGCAAGAGGTAAAATAAATTTATATTTCTATGCTTAATTTCTTATTTATAAACTGTTAGATCTGTTTTTTTTTGGTCTTTCTTTCTAATTATAATACATCTTTTTCTTTCTAATTACAATGCATCGTTCTTATTTTTATATTTATATTCTAGCACAATAGAACACTCATCATCTCAGTTTCATTTTCTCTGATTAAATAACTTCTTTCGGCATTTATATAAGGTACACTAGATGTTGCAATATTTTCTTCATTTTCCTTGTTTTCATCTACTAGATCAATAATACAGTTTTCTTTTTCTTCAATTTGATCCAATTCAATTAAATAGTTTTTTGAATTATCTAAGGTATTAAAAAGACCGCATTTCTTAAAAGACTTAATAATAATTTCTGTTGAAATTTCATTCCATACTTCCATAACCCAGTGACACATTATATTGTGCTCTGGTTTTTTCATATTTCCTTTCTTAGTAAATTTATGTTCCCCAACATCTATTCACATATTTCATTTTTCACAAAGCCGATCCTTAAATGGTTTGTTGATACTTACATCCAAAGATTGTACAACTGATGTAAGTCCACCAGGAATAACACCTAAAATGGTATTCATATCATAGCATTTATCTTTAACTATCATGGTGAGATGTCCTTTGAATAAATCAAATACTAATAATGATCTTTTATTTTGTCTACCAGGTCTTTGCTTCCAAACTGCTTCTAACTATTCTTTCATCAACTTTTCATCCATCTACCTATTCTCTTGTATTCTAATAACTATTCTAGGGGGATATTAGCCTCTAGGTACTCTTTTTCCTTTGAAAATAACCATCAGAGAGAGCTTTGATCCATCCGCTAAAACTCCTAAAACACAGGTAAATCGGGTTTTATCATTCTCTGTTGTATGTATAGATACTGTTCATGCGCCACGATCATTAATTGTATAAGCACCAACTATATCAAAGTAAACGGAAGTTTCATCCATGTTAGCAATACAGTTAAGTTCAAAATTATTATTTATTCTTAATTCATTAATAAAACTATGAAACTCGGTAACTTTTTCATGTAAGTCTTTAGGAAGTTTTTGGGAGGTTTTTGTGCGTCTGCGAAGGGAAAGGTTAAACCGATTCATAAAAAGATTAAGCCATGGGTCTGATGCTTTAAAGGTATTAAGAGCATTAGGGTATGATAACTTAAACTCATTAGAGAGTAAGTTAGTCATATGAAATTTAACATCCTTAAGAGTGACTGCTATTCCTCTTTGACATCATTCAACTATCCACTCTTTCAATGAATTTTTAGCAAGTGGATATAATGACGAAGCACTGGATCCTACTCTGCGACTTGTTTTCCTTGCATTCTTAAACTCCTCTTCTTTCACTCGCCACCTGCTGATTTGAGTATAATCGATGTTAAAGAACCATGCTGCAGCATGATTATTTGTTTTTTTGCATATTCAATTGCATTGAGTTTTAGATTTACGGGATAGCTTTTACGTTTTCCTTTTAGCATTTTAACAAAATACAAAACTTACAAATTTTTTTGCGCAGCTGATCACGAAAGGTATATATATTTATTCATATCTAATTCATACTAGATACAGTGTAACAAACAACACGTATAATTAAAGGATAACTTCAATAAGCTGATCAAACACCCCGTACTGTGTAATATTTAAAGGTATCAAAAAAGGTGCAAATATTAACACCATTCTCTTATACTTGTTTTTTATATATTATTAGTTACTTAATTTAATTTGTTAAATCCATAAAAGGAACAACAGAAGTGTTGTAATTAGCCGAAGGAACAATAGAACTATTTAGAATTGCTAAAGTAGTAGCAGAGACACTTGAAGTAGTTGGAA